GAAGTTCAAAATCTCTTTGCTGTGTATAAGCAATAATATAATAATATAATTTTGTAGTTTCTAATTTGACCTTCACAGGCCAGAAGAATGACCATTTTGCATCGCATCCCTGTCACAAAACTGCCATATCATCAGGGTCTTCCTAAAACATAGTGCTGATGTAGCCACTGCTCTGTAAAGTTGGGTGTCCCAGTGACTCCTGGCTGCTATGAATGCTTTCTGACCAGGTTTGAAACAGGGTTGTGTTTCTCTAACTGTGCAGAGTAGAGAATATTCTTTTACCATGGCATTGTAGAATTGACCCTAAATTTCACCATAGTTCATCTTGTTTCTAGTGAATTGACAGAGGCAATGCAGTGTTGCTGTGTCTTTGCCTTTACTTTAGGTGAGGTTATTGTAACTGTTACAGATTTTTGCTTGAAATTGACTTGTAAGGTCCAATTGGTGTAAAGAATATTTGTCTGCTCCATAATGGGATAAGCCATTTACTTGTGCTCTCATTGCACTGAATTGCTGTTCATTTCAGGGTACAGTAGGAATATTTGGAATTAATATACGGCAGTAAGTTTAAATGTGCAATATTCAAAGTTGGCTGGGAGATGTGTACTTCTTTTCCTTCGAGCTGACCCCTTATTGTATGGAATAAGTAGTTGAATGCTCCTGTCATTTAAAATATGTTCCCTTTCTGATTACCACGGAGGCCACATCAAATAGGTTGTAAGGGCCACTTTAAAATTTGATAGTTTATTTTTTTGGTTTTGAGTGTTGTAGCTGGGCTGACAGTATTTCATGATGATTGTCACAGTAGATCTAATTATGTTTATGCCTCTCATTATGATTGGCAAATATAATTTATTGGAGTTAATTGTTATAGTCTCACTGTTATGCCTCTCCAGTACATCAGAAGGGACGTTATTATACATAGATGATATTCATGGAGGTGGGAAGGTTGCTAAGCTCTTACTGTGCTGCTTTGAAGATACCACACTGTCCTTGTTCTCAGCTCTGTATTTTAACTGCCAGTGACATTTGTGTTACTATCCCCACATAACATTCAAGGTTCTTTGCTTAGTTTAGTCAAAAGTCTGAAAGAAAATTTATGTTGAGTGTCTTGTTGGGAAAGAATCTTCACAGGTATGGAATTTGGTTTTTGAGAGACGTTACTAAATAAAGATGAAAACCAAAGCTGCAGCAGTCGATAAAGCCTTTGTCATCTAATAAGAGAAGTTACTATTAGTTAAGTAATTGCAACAATCTTATGTGTAGTAAAAAGTTAGAATACAAGGAAGATTTCAAGCAAAATGCAGGCTTTTCCAGAAGCTGAAGAAGTACTCTAAGGGACAGGAGATCAGGACGTCTTTGGCAATCTCTGTGGCATTTTTTCCATCCATTCATGACTGGAGAGGTAGAGGCACAACATATTAGTTCATCAATCATGCAGTGTAGTTCCTTGAACTTTTCTCGTATACCCAAATTAAGAAAAATAAATACTGAGATACTTTTTAGTTGATGGAAAAGATATCTCTTCATCTTCGGACTCAGGTGGAAACTATTGGTTCATAGGACCATAGTTTCCTGCAGTTATTGCCCTGGGTATGTTTCGCAACAGAAGACAGCCTGAGGCATGCTCTGCCCTGGCAAAGGGTTGTCTCAAAAGGCATAGTAGGAAATCTAGTTCACAGAGATGTGTTCTATACTGGCAGAAAAGTGCTTCCAGCAGTGTAGCAAATACTGCTTCCCCAGAATTATGATACACTGGCAAAAAGACAGTTTGCTGGTTATAAATTGTCTTGAACAAGAGTTTTTGGCAGTCTGGAATAGTCTTAAAATGATACCTAAACTGATATTGTTATACTGACTGAAGTGTTGAGCCTGGTTTGAAATTGCAGGAAAGCAATCCAAACTCATCATCAGAACAGTATGACAAATTATGTCTGATATGTTTATTCTAGTTGTCATTTGCACTTAAATTAGGGATACGCTATTGGCTATCTTCTACTAAATCACTGAGACAATGGTGTTCAGTCATTCCAACAATATCTCTATGTAACGAAGGTGCATAAAATGTAATTGTGAGTGTACCAAGAACCATCAGAAGTTCTGTCTTCAAAAATGTGGTCCTAATTCAGACAACAGCTGAGCCACAGTGCTTTTATCGACAAGCAGGAAGGCACGCACTGATGCTTTCCATACCAGCACACCATGCACATCTCACAATGTTCTTTGCTGTAAAAGACTGATTGGCATGTACTCAGCCAAAATTGGAGATAACTAGAAACAGATGGAGGTGATCTCCAATAGATCCAAAACAACGTCAACCTCCTCCAACAGAGAGCATCATATATAGATGATGGCCATTTAGGATGTTACTTCATTTATAAAATGATCATAGTAGTCACCTATTGATTTGGAACCGAAAGACTTTGAGCTAAATGCAGACTAGCTAGGATGCTTTACTCTCTCTTGGAAATTTTGCAACCTTATCATGGTACCTAATGTATTCAGTTGCTATTCTAAGATAACAAAAATCAATCTCTTCTCACACCTCTTGAAAGAGACCATTCACTATAGAAAAATCTCTAGCCAGATCAGGTTATGTTTTCAAGCAAATGTAGTGCATGTGCCAGCATAATAGACAAAATGCTGATAGTGTAATTTCAAGAAAGTCTCTAATAAATAAGGTTTTGGTACCTCTTGTTGACATGTAAGTTTCCGTTGGTTATCTTCTAATATTTACTTTGACTGGGCTAGGTATCTAATCTAGTTTTTGTTCATGGAGTGTGCACAACCTTTAAAGGGGAACCTGTATGAATTACAATCTTGTCTGGCTCTATAACTTTCTTTATAGACTTGAACAAATCACCCAACTTCTGTAATTTCTCTGTGAAGTCAGCCTATAGCAAGATTTGAGCCGGAGAATGTGATTTCATTTCAAGGATGATTTTGATGTTATAAAATGTAGTTTTGTTTCATTTGGGAATGGCAACAGTTTCTACATCACTTCTGAAAGCAGACGCAGTCCATGTGTCTTAGAGAGGTTTGTCCTGGAAACTGCTGCCAATCAGACAGGGTGCTGAGGAGCTGGGAGCATGGGTTACCAGAAGACAAGATGATTTTTTCGGGGAAAATCACCTTTCCAGAACTCCTATGCGGAGGATACCATATCATTATTTGGATTATTGAATTATGTTTTTTAAAAAGTGTTTTACACATAGTAAGCAAATTTTTAATACGGGATATTATCCCAATCCTGGGATTGCAGGAAGCGGTGGAGGTGAGAGAGGCAAGCAATGCTGCCTGCAAGGGCAACAAACCAGGGGCAAAATGCTCTCGTTAACATTGCATTCATTTCCCTAGCGTGCCGGGGACGTGCATGGCTAACAACAACTGCCAGCCTGAGGAGGAGCAACACATCAGTCTACCACGTTTTTACATTCCTTGAAACTAATTGCCTTTTAATATTTTCATAACACTAATTTTCTACTTATCTGCAGCTGAAGTTCAAAGTGAAATTGAACGGATTTTTGAATTAGCAAGGACACTGCAGTTGGTAGTGCTTGATGCTGACACCATTAACCACCCAGCTCAACTAAGCAAAACCTCTCTGGCTCCCATTATAGTATACGTAAAGATTTCTTCTCCTAAGGTAAATATTTTACTGATATTCATGCTGTTTCAGTCTTTTCCTTTTTTTTTTTTTTTTTCTTTTTTTTGGTCTTAAATGCAGATAATCAGGTGTCCTCATGAAAGTTCAGTTATATATTGTTATTGCTTCCCTTTGGATGGTGAAATATTATTAATCAAAAAAGTATATTGGCTCTGGTGTTACCAAAACCCATTTTGGAAAAGATGCTGTAGCTCCAATGTTTTTTTTAAAATTGGGATTGTGCTTTTAGTGTTAATCATGTAAGTAATGCTAACAGCTTGTTAAATCAAAATAATGCAGAAATGAAAGAAAGATTTTCACGTAATGAATATCGGACTGATTGGTAAACTTCAACATCTGCTGGTAATGTACTCTTTCATTCTGTGGAAAAACCTGCACAGACCTTGTGAAGAGGCATTTGAAAGAGAAGAAAGAATTATGGGAAGAGAACTCAGGAGAGCAATTAAAGGATTTCGACTTAGAAACAAACAAAACCAGAAGCAGCAGAGGAAAATAAGAGGGGAACTTTTTAGTGCTTGTAACAGGAAAGGAGATGTTGGGAAGTAAATGGAAATTAGCTTGTTCTGGATGTATACGGTATGGGAAATGCTGCTAAAGCCAGCAAATGAAGAATTTGATCTGCTCAAGTGGGCAGTTAAAAATGTAAACATTTTAAGTGGTTATATATGTACATTAGGTCCGAACCTGCTCACTTTTATTAATGTCTTCTTTTTCACAGGTTTTACAGAGGTTAATAAAATCTCGAGGGAAATCTCAGGCCAAACACCTTAATGTTCAGATGGTGGCAGCTGATAAACTGGCACAGTGTCCTCCCGTGAGTTACTGTTAATTTATGTCTCGCCTTTGAAAGGTGCCTTTCTTTTCAAGCACGAAGTTAATTACGTAATTTCTGGGAATGTTTGCCCTCTTCTGGCCATATTTCACTATTGCTTTTTTGCAGAACACCTCCTGAGGTCTCTGGGCTCTACACAGGGGTTCAGAGAAAAACAGTTCTAGTCACAAGCAGTTATTAGAAAGCATGCTGACTACATTCAGTGCTCAAACAAGCTGAGCATTTGTTTTACTTGATAATTCTTTTGGGGTTATTGGTCTAAAAATGAACCCTCTTAGTGACTGTGCTTTGTCTCTGAGAGTTTAGGGTAAGGCCGGTAGTTTGGGTAGCTCCCCTTGGGCATATGTCACCACAGCCCATCACTGCTGGCATTCTTGGTCAGAGTTTTGGCAAAGAGCTGTGGGGTACTGTGTAGCTGAGAGCTCTGCAGTTCTTCTGTTGATGTGGACAGAAGCAAATTCTCTCAACTTCCACCTATAGAGATGATGAGACCCTAGCTGTGTTTTAAACATGGCAAGCATTATTACCTGCATACTCAACTGTCAAGAGCATGGGTAAGAGACCAGAAGATGAAGATTCAGCTCAGGTGCAGATATGGGAATTTGCTATAGTTACAGAGCTGAGTGAGGGGGATGTTTTCATCATTTAAGTTCAAGCATCTCAGTTAAGAGACTAGTCTCCTTAGGTCCCCAAGAAGTCAATGATGAATGCTAGAGACTGGCATAGGCTCTCAAAGCTGCCTTTGGGAGGACTTCTGTCTCCCTGACCAGGAAGGGAATGGAGGAAACTTGCCTCCTAACTTTAGATACCTAAAATTAGACTGTGTGACTAATCTCTTACCTAATATTTGTACAACACTTGGAAACTGGATGATCTGTGTTACTTGTGTTCCTTACTGTTATTAGTTATTAGTCTTAGTTTGTCTTAGTTTTCTCTTATTCTAGATATGGGGAGTGAATCCCTTTTCTTGCCATTCCCTTTTGTTCCATTAGCTAAAAACTTCAATATTTAACCTTTCTTTCTGGGCATTCGAGTTTTAAGATGTGTTCAAGCTGCCTCTTCCTATCTTCATTGACCATTTGTGCATTACTAAGTGGAAGTCATGAGGACTTCCTTTAGCAAGTGTAACATTAGTGCTAGTTATGATTGCTGTCTTTTGTATCAATTGCATTAAAAAAAAAAGGTGAAATATATTAACACAAGTATTAGAAATGTGGTTTATTTTTGATGAATGGAAAGTGTGGTCATTCATGTCTAAGTGGAAGTCATGAGGACTTCCTTAGCAAGTGTAACATTAGTGCTAGTTATGATTGCTGTCTTTTGTATCAATTGCATTAAAAAAAAAAGGTGAAATATATTAACACAAGTATTAGAAATGTGGTTTATTTTTGATGAATGGAAAGTGTGGTCATTCATGTCTCTAGCTGATCTCTCTTTAGCTGGTGGTTATTCTCACTAAAACCTTTCCTTTATCAGGAAATGTTCGATGTAATTCTTGATGAGAACCAGCTTGAAGATGCTTGTGAGCACCTTGCTGACTATCTGGAAGCCTACTGGAAGGCCACACATCCACCTAGCAGCAATCCTCCTAACCAGCTTCTCACTCGCACACTTGCAACAGCCACTCTTCCTATTAGCCCAGGTCCAAATATTAATTTACAGGTACAGTTTTTATGCCATCTCTTCTTTTTTTTCTATCAACTTCTTCCTCTTCCAAAACGCAGTGGTAGTCTGATACTAGAATATGCTGAATATGTCTTACCATTGTTGATAGAGTAAGAGCTTTTTCAGTAGACACTCACCCATTTTCAGTATAAAAGGCAAATACAGGCACATTATTGTTATTGCTATTGTGTTCACAGTAGCATGTGTTTGCATATTGACTAGGGGGCTGGTTTTGATTCCAAGGACTAAGCCAGCCTGACTGAAAACATATGGTGATGTGAAGTGGAATACTTAAGATTTCATTGTGCCCAGGACACCACTGTGCCAGTAATATATGTACCAGCCACAAGCATTTTTATAGCTGGCCATATGTAATCCAATCAGAGGAATAAAACTGGGTTAATACTATGCACGCTGCAGCCTCTGGTAACTCTCTGACTGACGAGCACAGTATTGCTAATAGGCAAATCCCAGCCCCAGAGGCCCTGCATGACAAATTGGGTTATGTACAGAGCAGATCCACAAATGTTGGAGGGAATCTGTTCCTATCTTCCCACAGGCTATAGAGTTGTAGAGGTTGAAAATGACTGACTGTATTAGTGAAGTCTCAAGGTCAAAGTGGGCCTTCCAGTGTTTCCTTTGTTCTTTTAGTCATTGGCCATTGCTGTGAAAAGTACATACTTCCTTTAAGCCAAACTCTTGCATAAAACCCGAGTCCCGCTGCACATTGTGCAGAAAGACCTTGAGGGGCAGTATGTTCTGAACAGTGAGGGTACTGTCTAGTGAGCTGGGAAAAACAGGCTTTATTCCCACCTCCGCACTGACCTGCCTGGTGACTTTGGGCATATTTTGTCCTCTCTTTTCTCCTTCAGCTTTTGCTTTGTATAATTGTATTAAGGTTTTCAGCATAAGGAGATCCTCTCCTTTGTATATGTGTTGCATGGCATGAAATGAGGTCGTTAAAGATGCTACTTCATTACAAATAGTGAGTGACGCCTTGAGGCTGAGAAGATCACAGTGTTGGTTAAAATACATCTGTCCCAGCTCAAATAATGACTTACTACATCTAAATTTCCACCTAAGGTCCATATAGGCCCATAAGTTATATACCTACGTTAAAATTAATAACTTTGGCTAAGAAAAAGATCTCCTTTTAGAAAATCAAAGAAAAAAATGTATCTGCACCCAAATTAAAATGCCAAAAAATTGCTTTTTGCTTTTATGGTCTTGCAAAACAATTTTTTGTGTCAAAGAATTTATTTCCCATTAGAAGACCACAGACTTGACAGGTTTGTTCTTTACCAGGAAAAAATGCTTCAGCCACCTTGCAGGGTATCTCCTTCTCTTGCTTTCAAAAGCAGTTGCAGGAAAAAAGACTGTAAGCTATAGCTCATTTCTGCCTTTTTTTCTGTCCTCAGAGCTGAAACACCCTGAAAAAATTGTGAGCTGGAAGAATTTCTGAGTATGAGATTCAGTATTGTTGTGTGCAGACTTGCTAGATAAACTTCCTTTGCTTTGTAGATGGGTTTATTATTTTGCTCAAGATTTTTTTATGCCTTTTGGGTGTGGATTTATAATTCACTTACTCATTTTATTAACCACATTCTCTGAAGGAACTATATGGAGTTTTAATAACACGTTTCTGAATGTTGTGCTCTTTCCTTACAAATTAACAGATTTTTATTTTAAGAACTAAAAATGAGAATGTATTTGCAGTTTCACAGTTTGTTTGTAGGTCTACTAATCCAAAAGTGCGAAGCAGTGGGGGTCCCTTATGGAACATAGAACTTTTACATTCCTTTTGTTTCATTTTCCTATGATACATTTTCAGCTGACATCTCAAACCTGAGCCTGTCACGGTCTTGAAATAGAGTGGGTTTATTTTCTAATCACGGTGGCTGAACCCGTTCTCTCAATACTGTTAAGACTATTTGGAGAATTTATAGTCTATGTCTGTGCTGTTTTTGTGGACGGCTCTGCAGAGAAAAACCATGCCACCAGCCATTTGGCCTGAAGGGCCTACTCCACACTGCAAAGCATTTGAGTCATTCTCCCCTGGGTGCAATGCAGCACCCCTTTGCCATGAGACATAATTGGTTTTTGTGGTTTTTCAATCCCGGGTGAACATTGTAATGAGAGACTTGTGTTGCTAGCTGCCAGAGTGGTATTTTTATAGCATGATGCTGACTGTGTGCATTGCATAGCACGAGGTGCTTGAAGGTGTGAGGCCTCCCAGGACTGTTTGAAATGAAGTTGGTGAAGACCATGCACCTTCTGTCTATCTGATGGAGAGCTTTGAAGCAAACTGTCCTGACAACTCTTCTCAGGTTTCCTCTTGTGGGGCAGTAGTTGGCTAATTCCAAAAAGAAGACTGGACCAACCTCACACACGTAAGGTGCAGGCGATTAGGGACCAGTGGATGGAAATAGGGAGCAAGCAAGGGAGCAAATCGACTCAGTGGACACAGACTTCTCTCTCCTCTTTCAACACTGCTTAAACTTCTTTCCAAGAACCCCTACTTCTTTGGAATTACAACCTGAATAATGAAATGGACTTATCTCTAACCTTCTCCATTATAGGCAAAAAAATGGTGTGAGATTGGGCCATAAAATTCCTGCACTGTGGATTCTAATCCAAATCAGAGCCCTAATTTGGTTATGAATCACAAAGCCAGACCCTAATGCAGATTCAAACATTACTTGCTCCGTGTCACTGTGATATTTAGGGAAAGTTACTGTCAATGAATTTGCCCATAAATCCCAATAGCCCTAACATTATTCTGAAATTGCAGGTATTGGTTCTAAATTTATTCACTGTGGTCCTCACACGTACTTGGCATAGCAGAGAAGATGCATCTGAACTTGTAAAAGTAGCATTCTGTTCAAAGCAGGTTCAAATTTTGCATTTGTTCTCAAACCACAGCAATGTCAGATTTTATTAGTCACGATTATATATATAGGTACATACATATTTGGCATTTGACCATATGACAATTAAAGAGTTTCACATGTGTACCCAGTTTATGTGCCTTAGAAACAGTCATGGTTGTGAACTAATAAAAATGTGTTTACACATCCGAAGCAGGCATTGCTTTAAACTCTTTAGCTTTTCACTTGATTTCATTTATAATTCACCTCAGTTAAGTCATTTCTGTTCACCTGGAACACATCTATTCATATTTACAATCCTTACATTCCTTTTCTGGCAAATCTGAATCATCTTGAGATTCATAAAAACAAGAACAAAAAAGAAATTCGACCACTGTTTCTGTTACCTTGTTCTCATCTATACCATTTGTTTCAAATTAGGAACACATGGAGCAATGCAGCTAGTCCCTGGGGAGTTTACAGAACAAAATGTTGTCTTAGAAAACGAAGATTTGTCAAATTTATCAAATTACTGATTTGAAATATGTTGCTTTTTATAAGTTTCTGATAAAGTACAGATTCATTCCTGTCCAATTTCCTGTCATTTTACTTTTTGGGTTGCTAGGAAACCCACCTGCCAGTATCTGTGGCTGAAGGACAAAATTTCCTCCTTCTCCTAGCTCTTTCCCACAAAATAGAGAGACAGAAAGAAGATACATCCGTGAGCTGCCCTGGAGGCAATCCTTATTTTTAGACAATTCTGAACATAGGAGGGCAAGCTTTAGTCTAAACTTTGGTAAATTCAGAACAGTCTCACAAACAAATGCCTGTATAACTCTGCTAAAACCTACTTTAATTTTGTGCCAGTAGAGATGATTTTGTCTTGATGTTCTCCACCTCATGTGAGAAGGATAATTCAATTTCACCATAAACTATTTCTTAAAATTTTGCAATTAAGCTTGAAAAGTCCTTGGCTGTGGTTTGGGAATAAAAGCAGGTTAATGTAATGAAGCCCCCAAATGAGTTAAATAATGCCACTTGTTCGTTTTGCAGTGATTTCAAAGCATTATGCTGGTGAAGAGTAGGTTTGTTACTACCTTGTAATTTTTATTTCAGTCTTTTAATAGTAGTGGTGTGTTAGAAAATTCTATAGGTCATAATATCGCTCTCCTCCTGCTTTTCTTGGCAAGGGTCTGTATTCTTGAGCTCTTAAAATTATGAGGTCAAAGTTTAATTTTTCATTACCATGAAGAAATGGAATTATTGCTGAGAAAAACAAAAGGTCAGTGATACTATTAGTATCATAATACAAACTTTATTCATACCAGATTCAATTGCATTTTTTTTCTTAAAAAAAAAAAAAAAAACAAAAAGCTACTCTAAAAGAGCCAAGGTTTTGTACTTTGGTTCTCTGCTGGAATCCACCTCCTCAGCCCTCTAAAATCACTTTCCCATAGTGGCTGTTTCCAAGCAGGTATCTGTAAACTCTCAACTGATACCTGCCCTCTCCTGGCATGATATGTCCTCTTTAATTTCTCTGCAGTTTGTCCTGCTTCTGCATGCTCTCTTTTTGTCTGGAGTGTGGTAGGCAATTATTGCTAAATGGAATAGTCAGAAACATCACAGGAGACGAGAAGGTGTCACAAGATAACTCTGAGGAGAGTGAAAGGAATTGTTTGTATTATAATACTGAATTTTCAGTAAAAGTTGAGTTCTAATGGTTTTTTTCTAGTTTAGATTCAAAGTGGATTGTTGTGTACTTAAATTTTATTGGTTTCATGGTACTTTCTAGTTGAATTTGATATTGGGGAAAGTTTTAAAATGTGTACTTCATGTACGTGAACTCACTGCCGGTTGTGATAGCAGGGATCTCAAGGAGACCAGAGGAATGACCATTCAGTCCCTGAACGCAGCGGTTCACAAATTGAAGAGGAAGCACGGGTTGAACCCATCAAGAAATCCCAGCATCGCTCTTCCTCGAGCCAACACCACAACCATCGCAGTGGTGTTAGAGGCCTTTCTAGGCAAGAAACTTTTGACTCAGAAACACAAGACAGCAGAGATTCAGCTTACGTGGAGCCAAAGGAGGACTACTCACATGAGCATGGTGACCACTATGATTCTCACAGGGATCACAATCATAGAGACGAGTCCCACGGGAGCAGTGATCACAGACATAGAGAATCAAGGCATCGCTCAAAGGAGAGGGACCGCGAGCAGGACCACAATGAATGCAACAAACAGCGTAGTCGTCATAAATCAAGGGACCAATATTGTGACAAGGATGGGGAAGTGATATCGAAAAAACGTAACGACGCAGGAGAATGGAACAGGGATGTTTACATCCGTCAGTAACTTTTGCCTCCGGCAGTCTTGTGTTTCTTTGAAGTCTTGTAACAATGCCCCCTGAAAATATCTTTGGGTTCTTCATTGCAGAACATATGGTATCCTTCTGTATGCTGATTTGTATTGCTGTTGCTTGCATAGCAATAGCATGAAATAGAATATTCATATACTTATTTTTTTTGGTTAGTGCTATATGAATTAGCGTAGTACAACTGCAGAGCTCCTGATGTTGTACTATGCCATTTTTCAAGCTGTTTTTTGGTAGCTGCCACTTGAACAATATCTGTTGCCATCAAGGTGTTGTTAGTGTTTTTTAAAAAAAGGTACATTTGATGTTTAATAACTTCCCGTGTATTCAGCAGGCCAGAATCAGCACATAAAAAATCTAAAACTTTTTGTCTGCTCTGATTTTTAATTTGGATGCACTTGATTTGCATATTGATTTAAGAGCCACTATCTGTTGCTTGTACCTCTGGTGAACTCCATTTGAAGACAGAATTCAGTCTTGCCTTACACACAGGGGATCATAAAGTCAAAATCTATTTTCTATGTACTGGTACTGTGTACTGTATATACAGTTTATAAATGTTATTTCTGCAGACACCTTCTTAGTATATAAGTTTGATCACACTGTTTTAGAGTCCTAATGCCAAGTCAGCAGATTTGCTTTTGAATTACTGGCAACTGGAACTAGCCTCATTTAGGAAATCTGTAACAGTGTTCAACCTAAATACTTTTTCTTCTGTAGCAGAAAGCTTATACTTATTGTAAATACGAATGAGTGCTTGAGATAAAGGGTCTAACTCATATACCTTATACTGTCCTTGCAAACCCAATTTTGCATTTTAAATTTATGGTAAAGATAACGAACTTACCACTATAAATTATTCTTCTCTGTACAGGTCACAAAATTGCAATGGACACGGCTTAATTTTTGTTCTATTGTCAGAATGATAGAGCACACATGACAGAGGTGTGTATGTGAGTGGGTGGGTGTGTATGTGCACGTTCGGCAGCAAAGCGTGAGAATCTACTGAAGAAAACAAAGGTTACTCAAAAGCCCAACAAGTCTGTTTCTTCATTCTGTCTATTAATTTAAAAATCAAAATTGCAGTCAGGGAATATGAGGGAGTTTACTGAGCCAGGTAATTGAGAAAGCATAAATCTGCTGGCTCTTTGTTGAGACTTCAGGAGAGTAAAAACAGGCAAATGTTACTGTGAGTGTTTCACTGGAAATGTAAAATCTTTGTGTTTTAGAGTATTTGTTTTAGTAAGAAAAGTTTACACAGCTTGTGGAGAGTTATTTTGTTGGAAAATAAATTTTTGTAGCTTCTCCACTTTTTCTACACTTGCCAATTCCTCTGCATTCCCACTTTGCAGCCAGCTCACTGCTTTTCCTTCACCTAAACTGTTGTGCTGCTGGTGAGAGCTTAGAAAAATGACTGTGACAAAATACTCTGTTACGAGCTTGCTAGAGAAAATGCAGTGAAATCAAAGGGAGTGAACACAGTTTGTTTTGCATTGAACACCTGTTGCACTGGTAAGTGGGGGGAAATTCACTATTATTTTTGACTACAGGTTCCATACCCTTGCCTGGTGTAAAAGCTGTTCTGCATCACATATAGTCTTTGTAGTAATTGTATGAATGAAATACTTTTTGTATTTCACTGTAAATAGCACATTATATAAAGACTGTAGTGGGATAATAATTAATTTAGCTGGAAGGTCTTTTTATTTATTATTTTAATTCTGGGAATATCAGCATTGCCTGATTTTGAATATCATTTTAGTGAAATGGATAAGATATATGGCAGGTGCGTATTTTCTCCAATCTCCTATTCCAGCATCCAAGCAATTCAGTTTAACTAACTCCCTTAAACATACTCTGTCCTCCCTCTCCCTCTTCTGCCCTGCTCCTTGATGCTTTGTATGCATTTTTTACAACAACGTAAGAGAGTGAAATTCTGCTGCCAGATATCTGGCCATTCCTCCCAGTGCTGCTGACTGTTGTGGTTATTCAAGGGTAGTATTTGGCTCAAAGCATGAACTGTGGGGAACACAAGGAAAAGGGTATTTTTCTAGAAATAAAATTCTCAGCATTTTTCTAAATGTTACTAAATGATTTTGTAGACAAAGGAAGCATAGGTAAGTAGATCTGTTGTATGACTAAATGGATATATGAGTATATGAACAGTGGCTTTTGATACGAGAGGATTTTCAGGGTATCAGTGGAAAACAACATTGAAAGACTTTGTTGTTTGAATCATATCAGATCACATGTAAATGGGAAGAGAAGTTATATTGACTTGCTCTATATAGCCTGGCTTTAGCTATTTTACCAGCTTCGGTAAATGCTGTTGCTCCCTACAACTGTTATATGATGGCTATGTCCTCCAAGAAATGATCTGTGGATTCCACTGAAATACCTTGAATTTTCTTTTTTTTTTTTAATTTTGCTCCAGAGAGTGTTTATTTTCTACCTTTCTTAAAGTATTTTTTAAGGAATGTTTGGCAGAATTTCAAAGCACTGAGTAGTGTGTGAAAATCATGGAGTAGGTAGCCATGTATAGACAAATAAATGAGAAAGTAAAGAGCATAGTCTAAACCCTAGTATTTAAGTATGGCATATATATTGATTTATGGAGTATAAATATCACAAAAAAAGGCATGTCCCAATCCAACTAATGAGAGAATCATGTTTTATATAGTGCTGCTAATTATGTACAGACAACATACTAACACATGCATTTCTTAGGCAGTCTCACTCAGTAGGTTTGTATTAATTAGCCTTGCTAAGATACTTTCCTTCAGTTATTGTTTTAAGAGTGACAAATCATTTGTAATGTAAGCTTGTAAAACACGTATTGCATAGTACCACCCAAAGTACCACCTGCCCGCTGTGAACACTAATGAAAAGCACTTTAGCAGAATCATTTCAATGAGAAGCTTTAAAACTACTCCAACTGGAGGACATATCAAAGGTGATTGTGATTAAATGTCTTTGCAAAGTTTTGCCCATAGAAAGTTTAATATTATTGTTTGCATTAGGATACTAATGAGTTCATATTTCTGTATCTGGTTTCAGGAGCTTTGAATCTGAGGAATGGTAGAGGTCCCAGTGAGCTCCAGAGTCTTCTTATGTATGTGTGGTACAAAACAACCTGTAAAATTTCTAATCAAATGAGCTAAAAAGATAATAAAACTAGTGAGACAGAAGGAAAGGGAGGAAGATAAAATAGTTAAGTGATACATAGGTCTTGTCAGCTCTCACTCTATATTTTTCTAAAGAATTTCAGTGCATGGAAGGAATGGGATGCATTTTAACATTTATGTGTATATATGTTAGCTGTTAACCTTATTTTTATATGTCTTTTCAAATGAATACACATCAGTGCTGTTGAGCAGCCCGAGTCTATCCTTTATCGGTTGTTTAGTGTCACACAGACATCATGGAGGAATGAATTCTCGAGGAGGGACTGGAAGGAGGTGAGAGTAACAGTCTCCAGACCTGTTAAGGGACAGGACAGTGGGGAAGAATAAGCAAACAGGTTTGTGCACAAAGGCAGCATTGGTAGGAGTTAAGAACTGAAAGAAACTATTTTTAAATCGATCCATAAATTACTGCCTAGAAATCAAAAAATTCTTCTAGAATACTTATGAATTCATACTTTGTGTCTGGCATCAGGAGTTCAGAATTTGAGGAGATTTCCACAATTTTTGCTTCTCAAGGTGTAAAATTAAATAGATAGTTTCTCCTAAGGATTTGGCCCTCATTAATGAAGGCCAGTATTAAAGCCACAATAAGTTTGAGTGGAGTAACTGTTTTCACAGAAATCTGTGAAACTCTTAACCTATAGCCCTTATTATAAAAGGAGGATAAGGAAATGAAATTCCACTCATCAAACCCTGAATAAAAGTAGAAACCTATTTTTACTTTTCCCTGCATATCTGGTTACTCATCCTATACATGCAGTTCCTGCCTGGGTGTAATACCCTGCCCCTTAATACTTACTGTCTTTTATGAATTTGTTAGAAATTATCATTTTTAAGCTCTGTTGTTTTGTAAAGACATGTTCACGTTCTGTGACACCTGCAGAGGTTTTAGTGTGGTCCATTATCATTCCCTTAGCTGGAACACAGTGAGGGGTCTGATTGATTGCTCTTAATCGGTGTCTGTCCAAAGTAAAAAGGTTAGTATAAACCACGTCCTGTGTTAGCTACTAAAGCCTCTTCAAGATTTATTTTGGTTTGTGGTTACATTTGACCTCTGATTGCTTTAGCACATCAGGCTGAAAACTATTTCCCAAATGCTTTTGACTTTAATTCTATTCCCTCCATGAAAATAAAGCACATCATGGCAAAAAACTTTATTACGTAGTCTAGGGGCAGAACAGAGAAATTATTTTTCAAAGTGTAATATAACATTTCTGGTGTACATTTACTTCTATTTATTACTTTATTGCAGACCTTTCACCAAAATTTTGGTTCTTCTAACATGTGTAAAATATGTGGCTGCCATTTTTATTACAAATGTTTTTAATCAAATGTTATTCAATCAAATTTATTGCTTGGCAATTTGTCTATAATTTATTTCGCCACTTTTATATAACAAACTGTTACGTATAAGCCTACAATAGCTTTATAGACAGTTTCTTTTTATAACTTACCACCCTAGAGATGTGTTCCTACGCAGCCCCAGAAAAGATTTATATCAGATATAATAGAGATTAAGCTGGTTCTTCTAACTCATCCGTGTTCTCCTTTCTTACTTTATTCTTACCACTTTTATCTATCATGCTTACCTACTCTGCAATGAATTCTAGCAGTACAAAATTGGATTTGCTCATAAATTTTTTAGTCGTGAACAATTAAACATAAAAAGAAGGTTCTTTATATTTTAAACTACTTACTCCAAAGTAATTTCTTGTTGATCACCAACCTATTTCTTACTAAAATATTCCCTTTTCCTTAAAAAGCATATGAAATCCTATGATCTAAAAATTGGTGGACTCCATGACATGAAACAGGAAAAAGCTGTATAATAATTTCATACTATACTAGGCTGCCTATTTTAATATCTTTATACTGACCAAGATGAATATTTAGATTTGGCACTATTACTATTTCTGGCACTATTACTATTTCTGCAAACAGAGAAAACTACTTTTCAGACTTTCTTAAAGACAGGATCTGATTGCATGCCTAATCTATTTTGTAGGGTTAATCTTTCATTACAATAACTTTTTTTAATTTAATATATATCTGATATAGTATATATATAAAAATATATATATTCAATTGTGCTTCAGCACCAAACACTGAAGCATAATGATTCAGTGTGTAAAGCACTCTTATCAGGAAAGTAATCTCATTATGTATTAAAAATATATATACACCATACATCAAAATTGTGACAGTGAGAAAGTATTCCTGCACTTCTAGTTAAAGTCACAGTAAGGTGGGAAAAGAAAAGAAAAAAAGAAGGGCATCCATCCAACTTTAGTCATCTAACTTAGCCAAGCCTGTAGTCAAAGGAAGGACGCTGGCTCCTTCAAGGGGTGATTGGGATCATCTTAATTGAGTTTCTGTTCTGAACTGCCTGATGGAGAAGTCTCTCCCTGGCTCCTGCTCCCCAATTACCAACAGAGAGAGGGCCCTACGGGAAACAGCTGAGGCTTATCCCTTTAATATGCTAAGTGTTCTTTTAAGCCTAGCAGTTGACTTTTGCAGAAACAACTCTAGTAGTTAAAGTTCAGATATCAGTAATTTTTTTTCAGGTGAAGTCTGGTCTGCAATTACACTGGAATCAAATACAAGTCAGTTACTTTTTCTCCACTGCCCCCCCCCCCCCCCCCCCGCCGAAACTTCTCGTATAAAATCAAGTGAGATCACCTTCTTGAAAAGCCTGTTTATCATTCAAAACTAAAGAAATCTGGGAAAGTCTCAACAAATCTTCCACTAAAAATTCAGCAATCTTAATTCTTTCAAATTCAGCATTGCACAAATCCTGCTACTGAAACTGGAGGCAAAGTTCCTTACTTTATATGCATACGCAAATTTCAGTATATAGTCTATGTGTGCTGATTAATGTTTACAGAATTTATATATTCTGCAAAAAGAAAATGCTTTTTTATTAGCACTGAGTTAAAGATTTCAACATGTACTTACAATAAAAGACTAATCTCTTTTGTTACCAAGTAATTATTTTAGCCATATTTAGACTAAAAAGAGTGTAATTTATAGTATGAGCTTTCATGATTCTAAAATAGGATATCTCGCCTACTACTGATGAAATAAAATGACTTTAAATCTTCTTTAGACATGTGGTTAATGGCAAGGAGTGACCAACAAAAGTAGAGAAGTAGTAGAAAAAAATTCCATCCTCCTATCCTGCTAGGATAGGCCTTACAGAGGATGTACTAGTCAACCTTGGCAGAACAGAAGAAGGGACATTTGTTTTATTTAAGAACAATACAAAACATACGGTATCAAAACATTTATAGCAAATACAAGTAAACAACCAGACTACTGAGAAACAGAATTGTATAAATTGTTTTGATTGCGAGCAAATGCAAAAGCACTTCTGACAGTATAAAGACCAATTATAAAAGAAGTATCGCTCTTTTTAATTCAACCAAATAGTTATGTGTGAAAAGACAGATATTTTTCAGATAATGCTTTTAAAAACTGGAAATTGATGAGCGAGAGGAAAAAAACAAACACACAGAGATGTCAGTTTACGTTTTTGAATTGTACTTACCTTTTCCCTCTAATTTTAGTGCTATTTGTCAGTTCCAGCAGTTCTGAGAAAAAAGAATACTGTTCAAACAGAGAACATCTCTGGAACGGAAGGAGAATTTTCAAATACATCTAACACCTTTAAGAAATTTAGATTATTAAAACTTTGAGCAGTGTATTAAGGCAGTTCTCATTAGCATGCTTCCCCAGTTTCAATTTTCATATGATTTTAGCTGGTGATGCTTTCTAACCAATAAAGAGTTAATATTCTTAGTTGTTTGAAAGGTGATTTGCAACATTTCAGATGGTATTATGCATTGTTTTCTGTCTTTTGATATATTAATCACAACTGTAGCCCCTTCTGTTGCAAGTGTTTGATTTTAAAATTGTCACTTGTCAGCCAGTCCAATAGGCTATTTCAGAACCAATACAGTTTATGCATGGGAAGTTTGATGTTGAAACAATATTTATTTCCATTCCCAGAGTGAGATGGTTTAATATATTCATGCTGCTATAAAAGACATGCTACAAAGCTTAATCGTATTTTGTGTATATACTATGTGTACAGAGAATCTTGCTTGTATTAAAATAAAAGAGAAATGAGGTTCTAAGTATCAATTTATAAAACAGTTCTTTGTAAAACGTTACAGTGTTTCGTGAAGCACTATTTAATGAAACATTAACTACTGGTAAACCTCCATAGAAACTACCTTTTCCAAAATTCACGAAAATAGTTCCCATCTATGTTATTTATGTTTGCATTTCATAAAGCAGCTTACTTCCCCTGCCAGAGAAACCCTGCTCCTAGGCTTGCTGCACTAGGTAAGCGACTCACACGGGGAAAGATAGAGCAGACAGCAGTATGAGTGAACATACTTGTCATTCATGCGCTGACCTGCTGTAATTACAAAAGCAAATGGAGACTTAAAAATGATACAACCCTTCCCCCCGCCATGACTTTCTTTCTCCAACCTGTGGCTCTTTCCCAGCAGAACATCTGGCAGATTTTATTGCTGCCATAGCAACCCTGCCGTCAGCCCGTTGGCTTGGCAACATTGCAGCAGTAAGAAACACACTTCACGTCTGAACTGTTCTTAGATTCACAGAGGTATTTTTTCAGGTTGCGTTCCTAAATGCTTATTTACTGTTCGTTTTAATAAATTTTGCAATAAAAAATCCTATACAGTCCTTATTTGCCAGTGAAATCAGATCGTCTTCCCTGGAATCTTGCAAAGAATTAATATCCATTCCTTGCAACGTCACAGCAGATGGATCAAATCTCTGCAGCAGCTTCAACTGATCAAGTGACAGTCCAGCTCCCCTCATGCCTTCTCCTCCAATGTGAGGTTCCTTTTTAAGTAACAAAGAAAAGCAAATTATTGCATCAGTAAAATTCCTAAGTGCCCTCAATGTATTCTGCTGAATATATGCAGAGCTGCCTAACTGTTAACGTGGATGAGCTAGGTTTATATCATTCACACCAGGGGAGGATTTAGAAGTAATGCGGCCCTTCTTTTCTTGCCTTCATCTGGTCAATATGTATACAAGCATAATTACAAGGTCCAAAGTACTTTGAGGAGGTGGTGGTGCACCTAATCCACCTTAGCCCAGTAGTTCAGAGCACTTATTGAGGACAGGTACACAGGTCTAAATCAATTCATTACTCAAAGGACATCACAAGAAAGCTGTTCTCACCAGACAATAAGAAGGTCTAAAGGTTTTAGGTTGCCACTTTTAAATGATGCAGTGCTTCTGTGTACTGACTAATAGCCGAGTTAAGTCAAAAATAGTGACTCCTTAGCCAGTTACTAATATAGTCAGTAACAGCAGTAGAAATACCTGGATTCTTCACATTAAAAACTTCAACTGGAGAGACTGAAAGCCCCAATCCAGAATACTTTACTGCCTGAACAGGTATCATTTTGGAAGATGATGCAACAGAAAAATCTAAGCTTCAGATTTTCTATGATGTCGTGTAATTAGACTAACAGGTAAATGGGACTACTGTTACATGTGTATGTATATGAGGCAGAAAAAGAAAGAAAGGAACAGCTTAGGTATCTGAATTCAGGAGATAACATTTGGCATCAAAATCCTGGAGAGGAGAAGGGCTTAAAATCACAGCCCTTCTCTCAGCATTTCTTGTGAGTAGCCTTGACTGCTTTTTATTTAATACGCTGATTCCTGGAAAAAAAATCTAATTCTTAGCTGGATTGTCCTTTCAATGCATTCAGTAAGGAGATAGAACAAAACATGCAAAAGCTTGCATTGCAATATCAAAAATAGATCTCCTTTGTAAATCTAGTCTAGTGTAGTCTATAATGCAGCCTACAGCAGGGTATTTTTTGAGCCATCACACTTTGCTAACACATGAGCTCACCCAGTCAGCACGTGATGCGAGTTAGTTGCTTAACCACGTACTGTGTGCTGTAGAGCTGGGCAGCCAAGAGGCTGCAGCCTGATTCTTCTCCTCCTTTCCCTCTAGGATTTCAGTGCTTTCCAAGTAAGAGAAAAAAAGAGGCGTCCATTGCAAATTGAGACAAAATAACATACAGAGGGAGACAGGGGTAGCGACTTGAAGTAATGTAATAGATGGAAAGGTAAAAGTCTAGGGAAAACAGTATTACACAAGGTCAAGCCACTTGCTCAAAGACAGACCAGTTTTTTCCTCTACCTTTTCCTTTTTCCTTCCAGTTAAGTTACTCCATTTAAGCTGATACACAGTATCTCCTGTGTAAACCCCTAAGAGGAAGTAAGTCTGCACAGACAAAAGGATCAGCTGCCGTGCAGTAACCTCCAGCTACAAGATCAACGCCTACGGCTCCATCTCCTGTTTTTGCCTTACCCAACATGATTCCAGGATCTGTTGCCAAACTAAGAAAGTGGGAGACAGTGGACTGGGTCTATAAGGAGGTGTCCACTGAGAGATTAAAGAATATGGGAAATACATGAAGGAACATGAGGTACATCGACCCTAGACTCCAGTTTCCTGTTCACTGGAAGAGATCACCTTACTTTACCCTACTGGGGAACTGGTTATAAGATACTATAAACTATCTGTGAGTAAACAATTCAGTGTCATCTCATTTAAAATATACTATACACAAAAGCTTAATTTTTACAGATATGGCATTTGTGTGTAAAGACTAGTGCTTCATTCAAGACTGATATTACTGGTGAGAGAAAGTCTATTAAACCAGAATTAATCTTGCATTTGAGTTAATAGGGCTTGTGTTTTGCTTTGTCATTCTATCGTGGACAATTTTTATGTTGTTAGGTAAAATGTATAATCTCAGTTGAAACAGCTGGAACTGAAAAATTCCTAGTAAATGGATGGTGAGAAAGCAGGCAGAACAACCCTGACATACAAATCTTTTAAGAAAAGCTTCAGTTCTGTTAAATCTTTACCAGCTTTCATATAATTTCTCATTGTACACCTATTGTATATATTATTTTAATTTCAGTTAAAAGATGCATCTTAACTTCTTAAGACAGATACAAGTCATCACAGAATGTATAAGTAAGCTAAACAGGTATCAGAGTTAGACTTTTCCTCAAAGCCATGACGATAAACAACTAACCCACGCAACTCATCACATCAACAAAGAGGAACAGAGACGCATACGGTCTGATGACAAACTCTCTCAAGGTACTAGTAAAGGTAACAGATATTTTTGAAATGTATGCGATATAGATAAAAAAATCTAGTATCTCCCTATATATTACCTCCTCCCAGACATCTTAATGGTAGACACTGACTCCAAAAAAGACAAGGTACATTCTTGGGACACTGAGCCTGAAATAAATTTGTTCCCTCATTCCTTTGCATAACGCAAAAATAGTTCCCATGCATATAAAAATCCTCCTTCCTCAAAACACAAGGTTCTGTCCATTTATCTCCCATCCTTTATGCACGTCTTCGCTACTTCAGTGGCATTAATAAAAAAATCTTTCACCTCTCCTATGAATGTGCAAAAAAAGAGAATAAAATATATGCATTAAAGAACAATTGCAAGAGAAATGTTAACCTGTCTGAACTATCTTTTGTCCCTGATGTGTTTTAAATGACTGTTGTACAAATGAAAACAACCACAGTACACAGTGGGAAACTACTTAACGATCCCTAAATGAAGCTCAATTAATGAGCTTTAATTAATGAAAATAGATTTAAAAGAGCCTCAGAAATCCTTGTGTTATTTCTATCCAGAGCAGTTAAAATTGTCTGCAGTGAAAAAGAGATTTATTGATAGTAAATATAGTGTGTAACTTCACAGTGCCAAAACAAGCTCACTGGATTGTGTGAAGTACCCTGCAAATACCGGTACCTGTGGCTGAAGCTGGAGGCATGGAAAAGTTTTCAGAGCCCAAGCAACTTGCTCCTCATTTTCAGAGAGTGTAATTGTACATGTACTATATACTAAAACACCTCCTGGCTTCAGCAATTTCATTGCCTGCAGGGAGAAATAAACAATAGTTCAGCTTATTTTTAAATACAAAAGCTTTCATATTAAGCAACATTAACCAAGAAACCATTAAGCTATAATATTAAAAGTTATCATTTAATAAACTCAAATCTTTCTGTCTAAGATAGGCATTAGGATACTAATTCTTCTCAGCAAATAGAGTAAAGGATCCCATGGATTAGAAAGATTCTTCTTTTCAAATCAGCATTATAGCTCGTGCAGTTTATTAATGCCATTGAGATGATTCACCTTGTAAGATTTGTTATTTGTACAGCTCTGCATATCCCAGACAGATTAGTTCTGTTTTCATCACCTGCTGGCAACCATGGATACACAATATTTTTATCAGTGATATTAGATGTCAACTGTTTCCACATATTTAGCATGGAAGCTATATCTATGCTGCTTTTCAAGCTGTGGTTCACTTTGAATACATATAATTCAGATTTACGCAAGTTTCATGAAATCTTATCTTTCGGCATCAGCCCAAGCACACTCCTACTAGCACGAAAAGTTGTAATATGGCTTCCTGGCATTGTACTCCATCTTATATCCCATACAGTACCTCAGAGCACCACTGCATGGGAGTTCTATGCAGTGAACTTACAAGAGTCTGTGCTGCTGCGGAGAAAAGACTTTAACCTGCTCCATGACTTAGACCCTTGCTATTATTATAAATTAAAACTGATGAAACTGAAGGAATAAAAAACCACATACAAAGGTTTTTACTATGGCTTACATATACTTTTTCCATGCGCCAATGAATTGACTTCACCTAGCAACAGATACGGTGAAGCTTAGAGGTTAACTGAATCCTAACACTATCTTCTTTACTTAACTGCTGAAAAGGTAGGGAAATGAGGCACCATTTTTTGGTATGAAGTTTTATGCTGCAGCAGCTTTTATCTTCGAGTTAGCTTATCTACTCAAAGATTAATACATACCACAGTGAAAAGCTTGCGCTGTAGTGGCTGATAAGAGGTCACTTCCTTTAAAGTCGAGGAATAAACCATGTTTGGTCTCTGTCCCATCCCACTACATGGAGCATCAAGAAGAATTCGATCAAATGACTCTGGTAAGAATGGAGGTCCTTCTGTAAAAAGCAGTTAGCAATTGTAAAATGTGGCTGTTTCTTTCCTTGAGACTTCACCATAAATAAGGACAAGCTGTTACTGCTTCCTTGACATAAAACATGTATGTTCTATAGATAGTGTCTGCAAAAGTAATCTCAGCTAGAGACAAGTCTCAGCACTGCTGGTGGTAGATTTCATCTCCCAGAAAACTAAAGAGTATTCGTTGTGTGAGCTCAAACAATACATGATCCCTTTAGACAATAATATTTTTAACCTTAATTTAATAATTTGAAAGTACAATGTAAAAGTAATCAAAGAAAAATGTTGAAATGTGATTGGTCAGAGGTGCTGGGTACAGAGTTGTATAGATAGGCTGTAATGAACCACAGTCAGCTCATAACTGAACCAAGTGTGCAAATCTTTACTGAGAGAAGCCTGCAGTTAACCATTAAGACTGCCTTAAATAATAATTGGACTGTCTCTATAATAACTATGTATTGCGATGCATATATATCTGTAGAAAATAAAGCACTTCATAATAACATGAAATATTACAAGTTCTAATGCGTGACACATGCTGTCTCCACAGCAGAACAATTCGGTAAACAAGGACTGTAAAGACAAGAACAATTTCTGAATATTACCTGGATAGATAAGGGAATATGTAACTTCTATATGCAGAGCCTATCCTTTCATCTGAATTCCACTGGCTCAACAGCCCAAAAGTTTCTATCGATCACCTTAGTGCTAGAGAGACTCTTCAGCTCAGCATCACCAAGACAAAAGTGGCTCCATGTGTGTATCTGTGAGTAACCAATGAGGAAGAGAGCCATATATATGCTTTACCTCCTTTTCTCCTTCTGTTCCTCATATATTCAAGTTAGGTCACAAGTGCAAACAAGTGAGTGACATCATACCACTGCTACCTATCTTGTTCCAGCACTACAAAATGAGTCTGTATCTGATTTATCTACCTCTGATCCATTACTACAACGTTCAAAATATGTCATGTCTTACTTGCAGGGATGTACAGAAAAGCCTTCATGATCTCTCAGGCTAGCTCTTGTTCATCTGTGTAAGTACTGCATACCACCTACAATATTTTATGTTCATAAAAAGACTATTAAGAAAATACCTTTATTCCTCCAAAGCAGGAACAACTGCAAGGCATAGGGACAAGGAAGGTGAATTATGCAACCTCGTTCCTACTTAGGCTAACCAGTGACTGGGATAAAATAGAGTGAGAAAGAACAGCATACTTTGCACAACAAACTAAAAATAATCAAGACAGCAGATACCGTTTAAATCGTTCCATCATGGGAACAGAACCAGTATCATAAATACAGCACTTCAGAAAAGCAAATGAAATGAACTTAAAATAATACACTGTGCTTCTATAGAACTTTCCCCTGAACAGCTGAACAAACATAAACGAACTAAACCTTGCAGCACTCCTGGGAGTTAGGTATTAATAACCCCATTTTACAGATGAGGATTCTGAGGCAGAAAAGCCAAGCAATATTGCAAAAATATTTTTTTTCTCAGACTAAGTCACACAATTCAGAGTATAGGGTTAACCATTATCATGAAAGAAGTTTTAAGGCTTCTTCAGTCTTGGATATTATCTGGGAAAGGAATGCATTTCCTTTGAGCATATTAGGTTGTGACAAGGACAGATAATTTGAGTTTTGTATTTGCTTCATGGAGAAGCTGATAATAACAAAAGAGCAGAAAATAAAAGAGCATTCACAGTGCTGAAGCAACTTAGGTATCTGCCAAGATTTCAAGGACCTGTAGACCTGTGGCAAGTTTAATACTATTAGCGCAAAACTGATTACTATTTTCTTCTAAAAGCTACTACTGCCCAAGTTGTTTATTTTACCTTGTTCATCCTCTCTCTTCTCAACTGCAAGTGCCTTAGTTCCATCATAGCAAAAGGCCTTAATGCAATTCAACTGTAGCAATTCAGCATTCTGCTTAATTTTTTTGACCTTGTTAGCTATCTTGTCCATGGCTATTACTTCACCCTGAAAAAAATCCAAAGTTTTTATCAAAAGCATATGCATTAAATGGATGTGGATTTCCTCCCCCCACCGTGAGCAGTGTAATGAATGAAGCTTATTTTTCCATACAGAATTTTGTTATTCTTAAATCCACACTCCAGTAGTCCTTGTTCGCCCATATTTTCCATGACACCCAGATTAGGCTAGATACTAGTCTGAAGCTGTGTGCATTCTGACTGGCACTAGCTGCTTGGCACAGTCACAGAATCACAGAATGGTTTGGGTTGGAAGGGACCTTAAAGATCACCCAGTTACAACCCCCCTGCCATGGGCAGGGACACCTTCCACTAGAGCAGGTTACTCAAAGCCCCATCCAACGTGGCCTTGAACACTTCCAGGGATGGGACATCCACAACTTCTCTGGGCAACCTGTTCCAGTGCCTCACCACCCTCATGGTGATGAATTTCTTCCTTATATCTAATCTAAATCTACCCTCTTTCCGTTTATAGCCATTACCCCTTGTCCTGTCACTACATGCCCTTGTAAAAAGTCCCTCTCCAGCTTTCTGGTAGGCCCCCTTCAGGTACTGGAGGGCTGCTATAAGGTCTCCCCAGAGCCTTCTCTTCTCCAGGCTGAACAACCCCAACTCTCTCAGCTTGTCCTCATAGGAGAGGTGCTCCAGCCCTCTGATCATCTTCGTGGCCCTCCTCTGGACTCGCTCCAACAGGTCCGTGTCTTTCCTGTGCTGGGGGCCCCGGAGCTGAATGCAATACTCCAGGTGGGGTCTCACAAGAGTGGAGTAGAGGGGGAGAATCACCTCCCTTGACCTGCTGGTCATGCTTCTTTTGATGCAGCCCAGGATGCGGTTCACTTTCTGGGCTGCAAGCACACATTGCCGGGTCATGTTGAGTTTCTTATCAACCAACACCCCCAAGTCCTTCCCCTCAGGGCTGCTCTCAATCCATTCTCTGCCCAGCCTGTATTTGTGCTTGGGATTGCCCCAACCCATGTGCAGGACCTTGCACTTGGCCTTGTTGAACTTCATGAGGTTCATATGGGTCCACCTCTCCAACCTGTCAAGGTCCCTCTGGCTGGCACCCCTACCCTCCAGCCTGTCAACCGCACCACACAGCTTGGTGTCATCGGCGAACTTGCTGAGGGTGCACTCAATCCCACTGTCCATGTTGCCAACAAAGATGTTAAACAGCGCCAGTGCCAATACTGACCCCTGACAAACGCCACGTGTCACCGATCTCCACTTGGACATCGAGCCGTTGACCACAACTCTCTGAGTGCGACCATCCAGCCAATTCCTTATTCACCAAGTGGTCCGTCCGTAAAATCCATGTCTCTCCAATTTAGAGACAAGGATGTTGTGCAAGACAGTGTCAAATGCTTTGCACAAGTCCAGGTAGATGACATCTGTTGCTCTTCCCTTATCCGCCAACGCTGTAACCCTCTTGTAGAAGGCGACCAAGTTTGTCAGGCACAATTTGCCCTTAGTGAAGCCATGTTGGCTGTCACCAATCACTCCCTAAGGGGCCCTAAAATGACTTCTGGCAAGTGGGTTTTTTGTTTGTTTCTTTTTGTTTGTTTTGAACTGCTTTACTGGGCACTAAGTTAGGTAAAAATGTAATCATTTGAAAGAGGATACAAGTCTTAAATACATGGTAAAATAGGTCAGCAGGTTTTAAATTTGCATGGAGATGGTCATGATCACATACACCTCAGTTCTGAGGAAATGAGACCTACAGCCACGCCTCTGGCTTGCTCAGACTCAAACATACTGTTATACTCGCAGTAGTTGTCACTGAAGTTACTTTGGGAAATACTGTAAATACTAGAATAAATTTAGATGTGGGGTGAGGGGAATCACAATTACGCGTTATTCCTTATATGTAAGAATAAGACCTCTCTTTTCTTCTCCCAAGATAAATCAAAACAGACACACACCACTATTGGCTAGATGAAATCTGTAAACACAAAGGAAAGTAAACAGTAGCATCAGTAAAATCCAGAACAGTAATCTATCTTCAAAAAAACCCCAAAGGCCAAAAACCTCTACTAGACTTGCTATAGCAAATAGAACCTGCTGAGAAAACATGGCGACTTTTTCCTACTTGGTGATGACTCTTTAGAGGCTTGTGGAAGGGTAACATGACTAAGATAGACAGTGTAAAAAAAGGAAAAAAAACCAAAAAACTTTAGTAAAGATAAGCTGTTGACTGTATGTCATGTCAGCCCATATGTAGGTCTAGGACTGCGAAGTAAAAAAGGATTTATGTTGTGTCAGTGGCATCCAGCCTTCAGCTACTGTGAGCCAAACTACCCCTTACAGGAGCACTCAGTGACCACGTGCCACTGCTTCTCCCCTCTCACCATCAACCTATTGCGCGTGCGCACTAACGACTGTGCTTGAAAGTTAGGTCTGTTGCTAGAACAGTGGATTTGCTGCACATGTGCTGTACTGCGGGTATAAAGAGGTAAGTCCTTCTCCTGAGAGACTCTTAGGAAGAAGAACAAGCTGGAAGACAACAGTTCTTCCCCATCTGGCCCATGCTGGCCACTGCCAGAACAACTTCCTGAAAGACGTATGGAAAAAATGGTGGTCTGGACTGGGATCCAGATAATAATAAATTCTCAAGCTTTAACTATTCCCAATTGCTACTCAAAAGCTCTTAACAATACTGAGTAATTTTACATTTCAATTATTTAATCTAAAACCAAAATACTAGTTTTTACAATTAAATCACAAAAAATATAAGGTTGATTCAAATATTCTGAAATGTTAATGATTTAATACACTGTCTATGGAAATTTAGTATGGAAAATCTGTGAATGGAACTTAAGAACCAAAAAGCAATGCAAATTTACTAATATATTTTTCCATATCTTAAATTAAAATTATATACTCAGAAAAGGAAAACCAATTCAGATAAATTTCAACATCTCTATTCTTAATCTTTACCACTTCAGGTGGAGGTAAGCACAATCAAAATATCTGAAATGACTAAGGAAAAAAACAGTTATGCAAAGTTATACAAAATGTACATACACAGATGGAAAAAGTATAGATGTAAATGAATTCATGAGAAATATATGCTTTTACAGACTTCCTTTATTTATCACACTGAAATTCTTTACTGGAAGCTTTATAAATCTATCTAATCAATGTCTAATGACTGTCTAATACATGTTTAATGCATGTTTGCAAACTTTCCATACTGAGGGAAGAAACACTTCAATAAGCAAACAGTCACAGAACTGAATACGTCTTTTCTAAATACATTCACATCGTTACCCACTGTATGTTCCCATTAATGCACAGACAACCGTTGAAGTACTGCATAATGTAACTGCAAGATTTCTAATAATCTGAGATATTCTAATAACCCTATTCCAATGAAAATAACAACGCATTACAAAATTTTTAGAGGAAACATTACACATTTTCCCCTCTCTGCTAGAACAGAGTAACCTGCATTTCTGTCTTTCATTTTGCATATAGCAATTTAACGTGTGCAAATTGTTATTCCTATATCCACATTCTTTTTGGCTTGTGTGTTATTTTCCTTTGTCTTTCTCTAAATATTTTGTTTCTTCTCATATTGTTACTTTCTCATGAGATATTTTTGGTTTTGTGACCTTAGAATTCAAAATTCAGACTAGAAATTCAGTCTAATATCATATCTGTACTGCATAATTGATAATTTTTACTGAGAAGAAAGCTAATTGGATTAGGAACTTTTGCATATGTTTTTGTACGGAGTTGTGCATTCTTTTGGCCCACAGTTTTCATTTCCATGTATTCTCAGTTTCATGAATCCAGCATATTCCTGCGTAACTTCGCCTCGCATGTTACGAATTCTTCCATTACAAATAAATCAATAACATTTAAAAAGTCAAATCAAACATATTTCAACAGGTCAATTTGCAGCAAATAAGGTTTTAAATGTGATGGTGACTATTTGATAGATAGTCTTTGCCCGTTTCACTAACTCTGATGTGTAGCAAAATATATTGGTAAGCAGAACATTCAAATATTAATTGTTTGCTGTTGTAAATTATCTGTACATTCTGACAGCTAAGTGAAGTGAGCTGTGCAAATGAAGAGTGGTCAGACTTTCTCCACTGAGACGGAAAATGCTCAATGACTTCTCTCACCTGGTCATGCATTAATGTTGCAAGATGGGTTGTTTTTCCTCCAGGTGCAGCACACATATCCAAAATTCTCTCTCCTGGTTGAGGGTTTAAAATATGGCTTACAACGACAGAAGGCAAGTTCTATCATAAAAACAAATATGGGAGAATTCAAACCTTATGTCCTGTATCAAGTCCTGTATTAAGGAATGACAAACTTGTTGAAACAAAGATTCATTCAGCAGTGAAGATACCTATGATATTGCTGTTGTTCCTTAACAGAAAATGAACTATTGGGATTATATAAAAGAGACAGGTCAGAAGTGTCCAGTGGCTCCTTTTTTACTTAAAGCTATGGATGAGTAACTATGACTGAAGTTTAAGGGTTCATGACTATGGAGACTACAGTACTAAAAGTCAAAATAAAATAAGCAGATACTATCACAGACACAGAGCAGCTCTGTATATTAGAAATATTTTATATTGACCTGTGTATTGGAACACTTACTATATGAACGTACTGGTGTATTATAGTAACAAACAGTACGATCAATAGCCAGGAGTTTAACCTTGCTGAATTAAGGTACCAAGAAGCTGAACTGTGCTATTAATTGTATAAACAGAACAGATGCACTGAAGAGAAATAATATACAATAATTGTGCACAGTATTGTATCTTACACAATATGGAAATATTCTGAAAGGTTCTCTTCTAACTTCGTTTAATACAAATGTATAAAAACCTTCTAAAGTTGTCTTTACTACATGTTGTCTTTGGTTAGCACAGATTCAAGTTCCATGTCACAGTGTTCAAAAAAAAGAACAATAATTCATCTCACACATGGCAAATTCAAGTCAAAAGCTCAACAAACAGAAATGCTAACTCCTGCACCTGGTGCGCCCCATGTACTCATACAGGCTGGGGCTGACTGGTTGGAAGGCAGCTCTGCAGAGAAGTTCCTGGGGATCCTGGTGGACAAGAAGTTGAATATGATCTAAATTCTCATGTGCACCAGTCTCTTAAATAACCTGTCTCGCTGTTGTGGTTTAGTCCCAGCTGGCAGCTACACCACAGAGCCACTTGCTCACACTCCCCATTCAGGTGGGATAGGGGAGAGAATCGGAAGAATAAAAGTGAGAAACTTGCAGCTTGAGCTTAATAACTGAAATAAAATATAATAATAATAGTAAAAAGGAAAACAACAACCAAAAACAACCCCAAAACCCAGGAAAAATAAATGATGCAACCGCTCATCACCTACCATCCAACGCCCAGCCAGTCCCCGAGCAGCGATGGCTGCCCCCTGGCCAAGTCCCCCCAGGTTTATAAGCTGAGCATGATGTCATATGGTATGGAATAACCCTTTGGCCAGGCTGGGTCAGCTGTCCTGGCTGTGCCCCCTCCCAGCTTCTTGTGCACCGGGCAGAGCATGGGAAGCTGAAAAGTGCTTGACCATGTAAGCACTACTTAGCAACAACTAAGACATCAGGGTGCTATCAACATTATTCTCATACTAAATCCAACACACAGCACTATGCCAGCTACTAGGAAAAAAATTAACTCTATCTCAGCTGAAACCAGGACACTCTCTAACAATTCTCTTCCTTGAAAGCAAGTACTCTGATAAGCTGAATCAGGGAAGAAAAGGCCTCTCCTTTACTGCAGGCCATGGGACAGTATATTGCTTCATAAACTACCCTTTGCCCACACCAGAAGACAGCATTGGTGCTGATTTAAAAATATTAAGATCAATTACAAACAGGATATATGCATAAAAATAATTCATCTGCTGGACTGACTTCTGACAAAAGAAACAGTGACTAAGACAATTCACTGTAATAAAGGACTTACCTTACTGTCTGAGTGATAGTTATACAAATCAAATGAGGAGATAACTTAGCATTTCAGAGAATATCTCTGAACAAGGGTTTATTTGAGATGAAATTTACATTTGCTTTGAAGATTAAAATATTTTTTTGAAGGCTGGACAGCTTGCTTTTGTTTTAAACCCTGCTTCTAAATTGTCATATTTATATAAAAAAACCCAATACCATTGTTGGCACACTAACTGCCTTAGAAATCTAATTGAGGTGTTCACCTTACCTTTTTACATTGGCAAACTGAAATCGAGAATTTTACCTGATATAAGAAAACTAGAAAGTTCCATGATTTCATCATCCTATGTTTCAGCATAGCACAGGTGGCCAATTGTCATGCCTGAGTATTACTTTTATTCAGTTTGATTGTGAGGAAAAGGAGTATAGGTATCACAAATATTAAAGATGTGCAAGGAAAAGCTAGCTTGAAATAAATTCTTAAATTTTACAATAAAGACTACACAAAAATTTGTCATTCTTTGGAAGCCGTGCAGTTTTATGGTAAGAGGTAGTGGAAGCTGTGCTACTGTAAGGTTTTCCATGGTTATTTTTTTCAGGTGAATTTTTTTCATTAGGGCTAAAAAGATATGGATTTTCTCTTCAACTTAAAGTCAACCTAATATTTGGAGATTTTCCTGATTATGTACAGAAGGATGTACGCTGAAAGAGGCTCGTATTTCAGAGTTCATAGGCAGATTCCAAAAACTAAAAGTTCTATGCAGAGTATCTGTGCAAAAAGAATGCCTACGTTTTTAAGTGAATATCTCTTAAGTCACTTTGAAGTCCCTTATCATATCTTAGACACAGTATGATTAAACCACCTACATGTAGATACTGACTTCATTCTAAATGCTTTGTTTTCTTTAAATCCAAAGAGTGAATTAGGTGCCATAATACACAATGAATATATAAAGCATTAACGTGTGCTTAGAGGATATTCATTATTCTGCAAATAGTACAGACTTTCGTTTTCATAACAAACATACCTGTAAAAACAAATGACTAGGGAGCACATTGTCAAACGAAGGACTAAGGTAGACTGGCTCTATCATTCTTATGCCCATCCCACTGAAAAACATTAAAAAAAATATTTCAACTCTTCAGATTTATAATTTTGAAGAGTATTCAATTAAAATTATTATGCTTACAAATAGAAACTTGAAACAATAATCGTACAAAAATGAAAGCACTTATAAATCAACTAAGAAAAATACTTCTACAATTTTGTGACCTGATATTCTTTAAAATAATATCATTAAGTTGGGTAAACCATAACAAAGAGGTACTACATTATAAATTGGAACTATCTGTAAAAATTGCATAAAACAAATTCATCTTTTTTGTACACAAGACAAACTGACATATAATCCAAGCCTTGATAATGTAAAGAAATGCATAAAAATAGATTTAAATACGTTAATTTCAATCCATAACTGCTTTTGGCTAGCCATGTATGAACTAGGGAATTGGCATATGATTTCCTGCTAGATTTTAGTCAAATAACCAAAGAAATTCTATTTCAAAAGCCTTATAGAAACATTGATTTGCATGCACAGTAAAGGTTTGAACTTAGAAGCAACCTAAAAGTTTTAAATATGGATGAAGTTCTGACACAGATTTCACTAAGTTAAGACAAAGGTACAAGGAAATGGACAACAATAAAAAGAAAAACAGGGAAAAACAATACTGATACTGAAAACAATAGATTACTGAAGATAATGGGTATTATTTTGCATATGCACTGCACAGCCCAACAAGAAGAAGGAAGGATATGAGAAAGCAAACTTGCAAATACCGGATTTAGTGTTACGTACTGCCATTCCATGTCATGAACAGGTATATCCTACCACTACTTCTACTATATTTAAGCTCTAATAAATCAGAAATCCTCTGACAATGTAAACTTTTTCACTCGATCTTTTCTAGTTTGTTCTCAGGATGTAAAGTCTCGGTCATTAATTTGATGTCCATGCTCTTCTACGCTGCTTTTTATATGTGTTTTAAACAACAGAAGAGGAACAAACCATATGCTTTGGCAACAAAATAAAAAAGCAAGAAATCTTGAAATAGATAACTACCTTGGCAAATGCTATTAATTTTTTTAAGATATCTGACCTTATGTTGTGTCCCCTGCCCCACTAGAAAAGGCCCCTACAAATATTTTTGGGAGTTGAAGAAATTGGCAAGGCTGCACTTCTGTTCCATTCAAATAGGAAAATGGTACAGAACAATTTACCAAAATGCAATTTTGCCATAGTGAGAATGTTTGTCATTTCTGTTTGTTCTATATTATTGAAGTCATATGCTAAACATAAATTCTGAAAAGGCTCCCATTTATTTCCTCCTACCTCTCAAGTAAACTGGTATCTGGATACCACTATGAAACTAGATGTTGACTCTGCTAATACTTACTGTAGTACTTTAATCATAATTGCCTCCACATTGCTGCTACCACAGTTGTAAAGTTACAGAAGACAGCAGGAGGCACAATTCTATTATATTTCCAGAAACTAACGCTTCCCAAAAAATACTGGAAATCCCAACATGCAACACCAGTCTCAGTCAAAGCCATCTTGTGGTTTCACATAGGTTACAGGACATTTCAAAATGTCTTCCCATCTTCTTCCTTCCCTTTGCAAAGTTGTAGGTGTAGAATGCAGTTACTATGGACTTACTTCAATGGGCCACTTGAACTAAAGATTTCACTGCGACTCAGTTCTGAAATCCCATTTCCAAGGAAAACTTTGACTCCTTCAAATTCTTTGGCTCCTCTTTTACATTTGCCTTCAATATCTGAATACACTGAGACCAGATCTCCGGCTTTCATAACTGCTCAAAGAAGAATTTGAGATTATTATTATACTTGACAAGACAGCAGTGACCAAATAATTTACGATTTTCAGTACGCTACTTACTTCAACTCCTATATCATAGCATTTAAATAAAATTTAAACTTTCTTAATGTAACCAAAGAAAAAGATTAACTGATATTAGGCTTGAAAGTATACATGGTGAACGATGGCTACCAAATGACTAGAGCTATTGAGAGACACAAAGTTACAAATAAGAGACCGTGTCTTGTTTTTTAAGAGGCTAGACAAATCTTCCCTTTATTTATTTTATCACTGCATGGTCACCCAGAAGTTTTAAGCACACTCTTCAGGATTCAGTCCTCTGTGTGTTCTCCAAGCACGCAAGTACTTCAAACAACACTCGTTCACATTTACTGTACAAAGACAATAATACTAAGTTTGTCTAATGACGTCTCAAAAGCTAGGTAGAACATAGCTATAGTTGCTTTTTCTCTAACTATTGCTGTGATACAAGTGATTATATATTCTTGTTGAAACAATTTTTCTGGTGTGGCTCTCTTCCCTCTAAGGCAACTGCTGGTCTCAATAATCCTCTAAGAGAGTTTTGCATCTCCAATTAAAACCTTTCAGATCAGTAAAGTAGGTAAACTTTATGTATGTAGAAGTGCAGTCCTAGGGACTTAACAAACTTTCTGAGCTAAAATAAAAATAGATGGAAAAGGGGGATGGTTTAGGTGATTTTGTAGAATAGTGAGCAAATTCTGTGCACTGACTGGCTGAAAAATATGCTTAAAAATAAAGGCCTCCACTGACAGCAATAAACAATTTTCCAAAATTACATGCCTGACGTGTCTGACTGGCTGGAGCAACCAGAAGATATGACAAGTAAGACTAATAACAGTTCAGCTTCCCAAGAATTCTTTGAATTGTATTTAGGAATCTTTTTTTCCATTTTCAAGTGGCCTTCTGAATATGCACAAACGCCCTGGAATTCTTAAATGTTAATATTTGTTGGGTAGCCATCAATCATTTATTTTTTTGCATAGCTTCTTTTTACACAATGTGACACAAAAGATTATGTGACAGCCTACTGTTAATGTCTGCTTAAACTCCACTGAACAAAAACTTGCAGCAATTTAACTCTCCCATCAAGCACATTTGCCAATGATCTTTTGCAGTATTCAAACATAAAGGATTTTATTTCTCTCTCTGCTGACAATTGTCCTTTCAAAATGCATTAGTACTGCGTACAGTTCTTAAGCTTTTTGTAGCTTGTATTGGCATTCCATAAACATAAAGCTTAGAGTTTGATTAGTTAAATTAAACTCAAAGCCTGCTGATAATTAGTTTACCCTCATTTGGGTTGCAAGTTCAGTGATTAAATGTGTGTTCTTGCTGTACTCTTTTTTTCTCCTAGTTAGACCATCTGTGCTTAATACAGCCTTATTATATTTGGCCTCAAGTGGGTAGCATGCCCTTTTATTTTCTTTTCCTATCTTCAATTCCCCTGAAGTGTTCCTAAAGTTTTATAGTATCTTTTCTTTTCTTTGAATTGATGTTGCGTGCATAATTACATGCAGCAATTATGATAAATCACTAGTTGACTCAAAGAAGGATTTGAATATTTATAAGGCTGTCTAAATAAGCAGTTTCAACAACTGCTAGGGCAATATACTTATTTGATTATTAAGTCCTGGATTGAAAAACATTCCTGTTCAGTGAATTGGACTTAAGCACATGCTTAAAACTTCTTGAAGGATTTTTCCTGAAATGGAATGAAGTGGCTAGATAAATGCTTTCCTGACTCACTTTGTTTGATAATAAGAACCATGATGATTAGTAGATCTCATCACAATAGAATAATGAGATGAATCATCCAAAATTATACTGGTTTCACATAAATTTAATTTGACCTTTAAATAAAAAAATAAATAGGCTGCTGAACACTAAGCATGTATATGTAGATTTTTTATATTGTCTCACAGACATTGAAACAAAAATGTCCATTTCTTAAGAATCTGACATTAAAATTGAAGATTTTTCTCATCAATAGAAAAAAACCTTTTTACTAGATCTCTCATACACAAACAATATCAAATGAATCGCCAATGGATTAAAAACGAAAATTCATTTTTTTAGATCTATAACTTAGAATCTGAGAGGATCATGAATGGACGTGCCTTTGTGACTGAATGAAGAAATAACATGTCTGGAAATAGTATCTATTAAATAATCAACATCCAGTTACCATCCAGATGTATCTGTTGTGGCATTCCTTTTATTCTTTCTTTTATTTTATTTTTTTTTACAAGACTGGAATGCAGCAAATATCTGTGAGTTTATTCTACTGAACACCCATATTAAAAGTTACAGTATTCAGTAGTAAAAAACTCTCAACAAGCAAGGTTTTACTTTAAACATGCTCTTTAAAAAGATTTTCAAATGAAAACAAGAAACTGAAATCCTTGAGAATTAATACTTCAGCTAGGAATCACATATGGAAAAAGAAATTTAAAATAGGCCAGGTGTGAAATAACCACATATAATTTATCACAAGTAGAATGCAAAAATAGTGAAAATCTCCAAAAAAGGCCAGAAAATCTTAAAAAAAATGTATTTACCATAAATTACAACTATAAGATTAATTTCAGCTGTGAATAGAAAAAAAAAATTCATGTCACTATTTATTGGAAATTGTCATCAAGGGGTGAGATTTTTTCCACCCTCTTTACAACTTAACTGGGTGTATTTAGAGAACTCTTACATCTTGAGGTAGATATGATTCCAGGAACATAAACATGTGCTCCTCGAAGTACTGCATATCCACACTGGGCTCCAACAATGACTTCAGGTGCATGTTTTTTTAAATCTCGCCTAAAAATACAAAATGTAGTTAAGTTTAAAAAAAAAAATACTGAAAAAACCAAATACCCCCCAAGTAAACTCTAGTTCATAAATACCGGTTTTGTTGGAATATAATAGAAAAAAATAGTTAACTATCATGTATTAAATTTAAAAGATTTACTTTAGTCCCAGAGGATTCAAAGGAACGAGCCAAGAAGGAAACCAGTCCTCAAAATAAAGCAGATTCTGACAGATCCTGCCACTATTATGAACCTGACACAGGAATACAAATAAATTAAACTGGGATGGAGAAATAATCCTCTATCCTTTCCTAGGCCAGATGATTGTAAAGTGATTTTTTGTGTTTAACAACTGCTAAGTACTTCTATAATAAATGTATAACCAGGTGCAAGGAACTTTGCCAGTAAGAACTGTGAAGAAGATAGTTACTCTAAGTTATTGAAGTGTAAACATATTTAAATATAAAAAGAACAGAATGTTCAGCAAAAGGTGCTACAAAAGAGAATTAAATGAATGAAGAATAATTAAAAGCATTAAATGCTATTTTAGAGTGTACAGTATTTACAAACTAGTACTACTTATTACCAGTCTACCTAATCATGATATAAACTGAATCTGAAGTATGTCAGTCTTCATTACAAACAAGATACTTTAAATAAAATGTCCATCAGTGAATTCAATAAAACAATGAAGAAATTCCATAGGGGCAGACACAGATGCAACATGGGACATATCCAAACATATCTTAAGAATGAAGAACGAACAGTCATTTTGCAGGGGATAAAACTGATTCAGGAATCCTCTCAGCATTACTGATCCAATCTCCCTAAGTCTTGCTCTGGACTTGATTCCAGTGGAAGAAAACCCTGCTTGTATTTAGCTATAGTTCTATATTCCACCGCAAAAGTTTAGTTCTTCTATCTGCCACCTACCTGGCTTTCCAGAGAGGATGTATTTATGTTACATTTTCCCTATAAAAAGTTAGTCTCATAAGTAAGGAGAGAATTCTCTCTATGTTTTCTTATATCTTTTAAGGACTAAAATTCTGACCTGGTTAGGATATGGACTGTCTACTAGGTCTTAATATAAATGAAGTTGTGCTTCATTTGTAGTGAGTTAGTTATCGTAACTGTGTAACATGAAATCTATACGTAAAATATGTGTTATGAAATTTGAAGGCTAAAGACTGAAAATTTCAAACCTGGGTCCAATGACAGGAATTAATAAGATGTCCTGGAGTTTCGGGTGCTCAAGAACTGGAACACATAGTCCTTTAAATTGCTGTTTCATTAAAAAACATAATTATTAAGGAATACTAAAAAACCTAACATTTAAGTACTTAATCAGACTGAAAACTATTTCTCCATTCATAATTCATATCTGTAGAGTACAAAAAGCAAATGTAGTGAAAACAGTTAAGAGAGGTTGGGAAATAGTGTGTAAGGAGACACTCTATATTAAAAATACTGGTGTAAAAGACTAAATATTTAATAAATTGAGAAATAACAAGGCCACAAAGGGATTCACTGGGAACTGACTTCAGGGAGTGGGGCGGCGTTCTGACACTTATAACCCTACCACTGGTTTTTGCTTTCTTCTGGAAGAAGGTTGTGTCGAGTTGTCATCAGATCACAGTAACACCACCAGAGAAGCTTGGGTCTAATCTGTGTTATCTTTTTGATGTTACTAATTATAAACCACTGTTTAACTCTACTCATGTATTGCCCGTCTTACATAATATGCCAGGTTGGTAATACTTTTTATTTTTCTTTTCAGCTTAACTTTGATTGGGTACTGAGAGCTGAGTTGTGCATGCAGTTGAAAAAATGACACTTGCCATTTTAAAACTGTTCCTGGACTTTAAAAAGATGATGTCTTCTCGCCTGAGCCTTCTAAAATATAACCTTAAAACATGCAATAAGTATTTTCTCTTAAGAAAGAAAACAATCCATGAGCGTACTTTTGTTAAAAACTGTTATGTAGTTTCCTTTTGTAAGATAACCACAAATAAAAATATAAAAGTTTATGAAAAACCAGTCTTAATTCAGTTTTCAGCAAAGCATTTTCCCTTGAAGCAAAATATCATACTGCAATACCCATTTCCAGATTTCTACAATCAAGCTAAAATTAGCATAACTCATTACCATTCGAGCCAGCAGAATACTGTCAACTGCCTCTGCATCACAGAAATGTCTTGGCTCCTGTCATGCAATAGCTCCCTGTACACCCACTAGCATTAATAATTTACTTAAAGAACTGGATCCTTTTAGACAGAGTGAAGATCTAGGATAGAGTTTCAAAATAATCTACTTCTTAAACATAATGGCTTGCATATTATCACATAAATAAATGTTTAATTAAGGTAAGTAAAAATCCAGAAAATTATATAAAGATTAAAAACAGGTTAAAAAAGAAAATACAGCAGCTGCAGGGTATCACTGTGGCTCCAGTTTCTAAAACATACAGATTTTCTCACTTTCATAAACAGTTTGTACAATAAGACATACAGCCATTCTCCTTTAATCTTAAATAAAAATGTTCGTAACATGCTGAACACTGCATACTGAACTACAGTTTTTATCTCTTTCTAGACTTTTATCTCTTCTAGACTTTTATCTCTTCTATCACATAAATAAATGTTTAATTAAGGTAAGTAAAAATCCAGAAAATTATATAAAGATTAAAAACAGGTTAAAAAAGAAAATACAGCAGCTGCAGGGTATCACTGTGGCTCCAGTTTCTAAAACATACAGATTTTCTCACTTTCATAAACAGTTTGTACAATAAGACATACAGCCATTCTCCTTTAATCTTAAATAAAAATGTTCGTAACATGCTGAACACTGCATACTGAACTACAGTTTTTATCTCTTTCTAGACTTTTATCTCTTCCTAGACTTATCTCTAGACTTATGATGCCTTTACAGTATTTACTACAGTAGTACCCCAATTCTATCTAAGGTCTGGATCTGCCACATGAAAAAGAGTTGATTGTCTTTTCTCTCTGTTCTTGCCTTTCTTGGACATATTAGATGAGGAATACTGCTAGACAATGAATTTTCATTTAACATGCAATGCTGACTGGAAATCAATACGATTGCATAATCTTAATACCAGTGGACATGTATTAAGTTAAGGAATAGCTTCCAGTAATGAAAAGCTCTCATAATCAGGCAAAAGATGAAACATCCTGTTATTTTTGCTGTAACAAAGAAATCGCACAAACCTTCTGGATCTCTTCAAACAGTAATTTTTTCACGTGTTTCACTGAGGCCAAGTGGGTATTCACTCTAACAGTTGTGAAACCTGGTGGATGAGACAGATGACTTAACAGACATTCATATTTACTCTCCGCCTCCTGTGTACCTAAAGCAGTGATAAGCTGAAAGTGAAAGAAGAGAGTTTATATTAAAGAGATTCAAACAGCAGCCTCTTGCTCAGTGCAAAAAAAAAAACGCTGAATAAACATTCCGTAGAAATGGAGGACTATGGTTGTGTGGTGTGCAATAGTGAGGAATGTCTATGTCTGGAGGCCTAATTCCAGTGAAAACCTCATAAATTTCTTGAAAAGGACTTGTTGGAAAAACAGTCGTATTAGTGAGATCACTGTAAACTGGCTGCAGCAAGTACCAAAAGTACTAGCTAGCAAGCTCTGTGATGCTGTACAAAGAACAGTCCTAAGGAGAAGGAAGAGTAGATTCAAAACTATGAATTAGTAACTATAAAATAATAACTATAAAAATGTCATTTTTGTGTCCTTTGACATTAGGAATTCATAGATTGTCTATAGTATTTTTGGTTCTACACTGGGGGTAAGGAAGTATTCCTTGTCAATATTATGTGGTTCATTTTCTCTGTGATCATTCTTCAGTGGGATCTAAAACTGAAGTCTCAGATTTATGCTAAGTTTAGTTTAAATATTTTTATGTTACTTTGAGCCAACAGGCATAAAGAATAATTTTATATTTTAAATAAAACTACATATAAAAATCTGTGTCTAATGTGAAGACAACACCTTATTGTAAGGTATTAAAGTCACTCAAAATATTAAATCAAAGGAATATTAACAGTGTTCAATTAGTGAATATTTGTTGATGATTAGTAGTATCTATTTCACATACCTCATTATTTCTGAACACTTTGGTGAGATACTCTTCAACTTCACGTTGGAAAGAGATTTTGGGGAAAACAGACATCTTCCTTTAGTTTTTAAAATCTGCTGGTAAAGAACTGAAATAAGCAAAATATTTTCTTAGCGGTTTTTATCATATTCTATAAGTTTATAAATGTAACGTAAGATGTACCCACAAACTAACAGTTTCTGATTCTTCTGTTTTTGTAATGCAATTTTACTGTACTCAAAATTCCAAATGTTGCTCAGGATATGATTGTAACACTACCGTTAATTACATTTCAGAATATGTTCATTAACATGTTTAGCATTTGCAATCACCTTACAACAAGGCTACTGGATTCCTTGCTGTCACATCCTTCCCAGCCATACCTTCCAAGGCTACTGTATCAGTGTTTGAAATGTGAAGAAAGTGTCACCACTTCTAAATCCTGTCCCATTAAAGTTCCCCTAGCTATCCTTGGGAAGAACTTGCTGTTTAGTCCCAGAATTCACTCACAAAGGCTCCTCACAGAATTTAGCTTTGACTCTTCTAAGTCCCATCTTTGAAATTCTTATTCTATTACATCATCATATCTGTTCATTTTTAGAGATAATCTAATTTTTCCCTGTCAGATTTCTTTTTCTCAAGCTTAACTCCTTAGGTTTTCTCCATAGTTCAAACTATCCAAACCTCACAATGGAGGGACATGTGCATCACTGTGGACAATGATTTTTATTTTTTCCATATATACACAAAAAATTAAAGAAGGACTATAAGTAACAGCTTTTTCTTGAGACTGTGTTTAATTCACAGTAGGAACAGTGAAGCATTAATGCAACAGAAGCTCTGCTGATCCTCACTGAAAATCTTCAAGCTGTCTGGTGAAAGACAACACTGCAAAGTCCAGCTGTAAAGTCCCTATTGTAGCTCAGCCCTGGTGCAGCTTTTATTCTTTGTAATTATTCTCTATTTATTTTTCTCTGTAGGTAATAAAATACAGTTATCTTCCCAAATTTTATCTGCCCACCTAAGAATTTAATCGTTTGTTTACACCAACTTAAATGGAGGGAAAGTGAGAACACCTCCCTGTCAGTGAGGTTTATTCAATCCATAACAAGGAAATTTGAATACTAATACATTAATACATTTTCATTGTATTAAACATACTTAGAGAAAATACATCGGAAAGTCTGGTATTCATTCTATTTGAATAAGAGGCTCTTTGCCACTTTTGTCGTACAAAACCCCTCAAAAATACCTTTTTTGATATTTCAGATTTGGTTGAAGTTTTAATGCTAGAATAATGTTATCTTTTTTAGACATAACTTTTGAGCCCAGACAAAGGCAATTTTCAGTTTCATGGGAAGGAATTTCAAAGCCTTATTCCCAACATTAGCAGCCTTTGAAAGAAAGAAACTGTAATGGAATTAATAAACTTCTTTTTTGAATCTAACAAAATGCCCAAAAGAATTTACCTTGATATTTCTACTAAATCTAATAGTACTACAATATTTTCTATTACAACTGAAATTACCAAAGTTCAGTTTTAACATTTCAGGCAATGTGACATATCATGCCTCTGAGCTGTTGTTCTAGGATGCCTACACTACAGGAAAAAAAAAAATCACAAAAAAACCCCATATGGCTCACATTTGGAAAGTTTTTTCTTCAGAAGCATAATAAATAAACTAGCATTTAAAAAAATCCCACACTTGTGAAATTTTCAAAGAATTGGAATCCTGAAAAGAATTAAGCAGGCATTTGAAAGCTGGTAGAAATATGTGTTATTTATGAGCACTACAAGTGACTCCGTTATTAACGTTATGAAGGTATCTTTTCAGGACATTAAATGGGTATTTTATGATAACTGCAGAATCCCACAGAATTATTGAGGTGATCTCACAATTACAGTTACTTCTTCATGGAAAACCAACCACTGATCTGACAGCATGTTGGCAATGGGACTTGTTTCTACTGCATTTTTAAAATGTGACTGAGTGCTACCATGAAACATGAGCCAGTAGGTGGTCAAAACCAAAAACTCTTGGGTCAAAAACACTGCACACGAAGGACAGAACTGCAATGAAGTTCCCTAGATGTGTTATAAAAGGGAAGCTAGTCCCATGATACAAATTAACAAGACAACTATGTCAACAAATAATGCAGAATCTCTATGGTTTGAAATTTCATACCAAAATAGAAAAGTTATAACATGTTAGAAATCACTATCCTTCTAAACAGGATGGCAAGTATATTAAAATGCCTGTAATATAATGAGGGCCAACAGAAAAACAAGAATAAAACCAAGATTTCACTTCTCTGCTTGTAGACAGGGTAGACATCACACAGAAGCATGATGCCACATCTGTGCTTTTAACCACAGTTAATGAACACTTTAGGAAGTCAGGGAACACGTAACAGGAGAAGTTAAGACTTGACCCTGACTAACTCATAGGGCCTGGTACGAAATGTTACTGCAGAAGAGCTGCTCTGTCACAGCAACTCTAAGGCATGTTGACTCAACACATGCATTCAAATGACAAATACAAGAAACCCACTATCATTGTGCTTAGTTCAGGGAGAACAACACACAAATGAAAAGCAACTCCTCAGTTAAAAAGAGCAGTGGAAAGAATAAAACCATTGTAAGCAGCCTGGAAATTCTAAAACCCCAGAACTAAGGTTCAGAGCACACCCACGCAACCTGCAGCTTCATGTATGTGTGCCCTTTCAGCGCCCATTACCTCACAAAAGACACAATGTAGCTTAGAAAGGTTCAGGGAAAGGTGATGACCTAGAGATAAGGAATTGCTTTCAAATAAGGAAAGACCAAACAGTTTGCAATCTTCCAGGCTGGGGAACATAGTTGAGGAGGGATAGATTAACGCTTATAAATTCAGATGTGGCACGAAGAAAGGCTGATGAGGGAGACTGTCTAGTGCCTCTTCAAATACAAGAGTTAGACCTCAAACAGAACTAGCAGGGAGGCAGGTTCAAAACCGAAGAGAACTATTTTTTTCCAGAGGCTTACGGTGAGGTACACCTTGCCCCAGGAAAGGCTTTTGAAGGACTTCAGAAGAGAGCCCTTGAGGGAGTATCACCCCTTGTTCACCGTCTCCTTACGGATTTCCCTGTGTCTCTGCCGGGAGCTGCTGCGGGGGACCCAATGCTGGACCAGGGCTTTGATCTAACTATGCACCTAAGCACTGCGAGCTGGCAAACGTAGCCAGCACCGAGAGATGCCGAGCAAGATTTAACTTTCAAACCTCCTTTCCCCACCCATTCCCACACGAGGAAAAAGTCAGTCGGCTCATTTGCTGTGGGGAGCGGAATTTGGGGCTCCCTCCTTTATTTCCCCATCCACCCCATTATTGAAAACACCAAGTGTACAGGGCGGGGGGGGGGGGGGGCCAGCGCTCTGCGCCCCCCTCCCGGCCGCG